TTAAGGTGGGCCAGATTGCAAATCTACGACGGCGTCAGGTACAGAAACACACACGCCACGCGGCTCTCGGGTATGTCCCCCAGACTCGGACCTCCGTTGCCTGAACCATTCTCTATCAAAAGCGATAATGATGTCCCCATGTTTTGTGCAAAACCAATATATCTGGCTGTTAATAAACAAGGGCTGGTTTTATAAACTTGAGAACCATGGTGGTGGATCGGTGGTGGAGCAACAACGTCGAGGTTGGTGGTGGAGGTAAGTGATGAGGAACGAGACAACGGGATAGGGAGAGGTCCAGTAAGCAAAGTCCAACACACAGTTTTCTTCGAAATCCAATGACCATTTTGCCCCATTTTAATTGATTAAAATATGGTCAAACTTAATTTTGGTGATCAACTGACAGAAAAATGGATGGAAACCATCCAAAAGGGCTTCACATGCAATTGTTGGAAATGTTAGGAGTGACGGTTGCAACAAATCAAATGTTTGGGAAAAGTCTGCTAATATTTCAAAGGTTTGAGACTTTTACTGCAATTATCCATAATTTTTTTTTTTAAAAAAAATTAATCAAATGAACCGAGACATATGTGAACACAGTTTCCTTAAAACGGATTGGCTCCATCACCAGAGGTGCTTGATGTTTAGTTCGAGTGTCTATTTCCCAAGATACAACGAAAAAACTAATAGAGTCTGAGCACTGCAGTTACTACTCTAGCGAATTGACTTAGTATTTGAACACTTTCACTAAGATCTTAACAGAAAATAAATTATTTATGCGGATCGAAAAAGTTATTCTTTTTATGCAGAAAATAATTTTCTTCGTGTGTATGCAAATGGTGGAAGATGATTGAATAAATAGACTATAATGAAGAATTAATAGCCAAGAGTTATGTTATTAACCACCATTAATCCAGCTGTTAATCTCTCCATTAAATCAGACATAATCACATGAGTTTCAGGAGTTAAAATTTTTTTTGAAAGGTTTTAGGAAAAATAAAATAAAGGCAAAACGTAGACCCTCATAAGGGTACTTGACAGTTTCTGTTAGTTTGAATTTCAGCTGCAATTTTTTTAAAGGTTTTTGTATTCAGGATGGTACAAACGAAATATTTGGATCAAATCTGCAATTAAATGAAATGTTTGATACCTTAACTTCAATTCTCCCCCAATATTTACTTTTGATTGTATTGATACTTTTTTTTTTGAAATTGAATTGATTATTTCCATTATTCAAACATGTAATTGCTTCTACATCGGACCGATATAAAGTTAACAGCAAAAGTGAGACACCCAATATCACTTTTTCGTTATTTACTTTTTATTTTATTAAAATTCATATATAGATTTTTTAAAATTTAATCAATGGCATTTATATATAGTAGTGAAAAAATATATTTCTTAAATCGAAGGAATTAAAAAGTCAAAAGAATCGCTTCATTTAATATCAGTCCAAAAAACTCTATTTTTCGAAAAGTATCTAACACCATGTATGATAATCCTATTTTATATCATAATAAAATAGTAACTACCCAACATGCATATCAGTGTGACGAAAGCAATTAGTAATCGCATCATATAAATTGATGATAACAAATTCAAAGTCTTCAAATTCATTAAACGTTTCTATATTATCTTGTTTATCAACCATAGCATAGAAATGGGTAAAATGTTGTCGAATATATATAATATGTATAGTGGTGAGGTATTCCATAAGCTCGACATGTCGAGTAGCATGAATAACATATTCCTCACACAAAGCCATCTATAGTACAAATGTAATACGTGAACAATAACATGTTTTGTAAACATGATGGTGCAATGATGAATATGAAGTATACATGTGCCTACATCCCTATTAAATCGTACTATATGAGCTCAGAATAATATGGCCAGTACATGCACGCAAACCAGTGCATGTAAGTCCATAACCTCCCACTGGGACTCGAGAATTTACGGTGCATTTGTCCTCATCTACTGGGACTCAGAATGTTCCTCTCGTACTGTATAATAAGTAAATATATGGATTGACCTACATATCGACATGTTTATTCGGTGTTCCAAGCTACCAAGGGAACTCGTGACACTATCTAAGTGACTGGCCCCTAAACTTCATATCATTGACTGCCCTAATGATCATCAAGAGTTTAAACGGTATATTTATCGAGACAAAAAATAGTACGATATATCTATAATGAAATTCACACCCACAACAACCGTTCACAAGCACATATATGCACGCCTTTGGAAACACCACCAAGTTTTAAAAATAATCTCAATACATGAATAAGAATATTATCACAATCACGTATAAACACACAATTCCACGTTTCAACATGTTTGTAAATATCAACATTTATCTCTTTCTTGATTTATGAAATCAAGACCTGCATTAACCAAATAATTCTAAATTAATCATAAACTATAGGCCGTATCCCAACTAATGTGCTTAAGAGAGATTCCCTCAAATCCTACCTTTTAACTTACATTTCAATAATGAGATGGTAAAATTATTCTTTCAAAAATCAGGGGTACTTCATCCTACCTATCAGTACACCCTACCAAATTCCACAAGATAACCCACTCTAACCCCAATTCATTTTTCACCCCAATCAAAAGTTCACTTATTCGGCTACTTCATCTCATAAGTGGACGGTGGCTCTTCGCAATGCCAGTGTGTTTCGTGATACAGGACGATGTTAGCATCACTTATTCCTGTGCAGCATCACGCTGCTGAAAACGTGATGCCCCGTTGCTACAACAACAACACTTGGAGCTACAACGATAGAAATTAAGATGATTGTCGAGGTGTTGGAGGTTGCTTGGTTGGTGTTATTGTTGGTGGTTGGTTGTGGCGCGGTGTCGAAGACTGTCTGTGACCAATTATTTGGTCGGTCTGTGACCAAGTATTGGTGGTGGATAGGGATTGGGGACAGGTGTTTGGCTGTCTGTGACCCACTATACGGTTCTCTGTGACTAACTATTAAACCGTGACCTTAAAATTCGATAATCTGTGACCAACTAATTTGAAAATATGTGATTTCTGTTATCTATAATTTTTTTAACTTGTGACCAATTAAAAACCTGTGACATAGTTTTGTTTATCAGTGACCAATAAAGTCAATTGTGACTTATAAATTTTTTGATTTGTGATCTCGAAATAATCTGTGATCAAATAATTTGATAAGCCGTGACCGAAAATTAATTTTTAACTAATTAATAAGATATCTGTGATCAAATTGTATACGACTGTGACCTTAACAATTACTGGAATCGGAGCAGTCGCCGTAATTAAGCAGCGGCAGAACGGCTATCGAAAAGGTCGCCGAAATGGTCGTTACAATAGTTGATGGAGTAGAGTGGCCACCAAAACTGTCGTTGAAGCAGTAGGGTGGGGGAGGTAGGTTAATTATATTATATTACAATTAAATATTTAATTAATTAATAAAAACCTGATTTTTGCAATTTTGAATCTTAGCACTTGATTTTTGATTTTGGCAAAGTTAATACATGATTCATGAATTTTTCCCATAAAAGAAATAAAATGTAAAAAATAATAAATAAATAACCTCTTATATATAAAGAGGAGATCGTGGGCATATTGCAATTATTACTTTCTAAGATTATACTTTTGACTTCCGGTAAAGCTGTAATTATGATTTTTCATTTTTTAAATATAAAATAACAATTGTAAAACCAATAAAATCCCTAAAAAATATAAAAAATTGTAAAACAATTCCGGGGCAATACAAGAAGTACGAGTACACTGAATTTGATAAACATACAAGAGAGGACACGCACTTCAATAAATTACAAATTAATGAAATGTCATGCGCACATGTCTAATGTCTTGGTAGACATCTCAAAGAAAAACTTCTACCTCTATGATTTTCGTTTAAGATACGACATAAAGTCATCGTATATTGATACATACAAAGGTACCATTTTTTTACCCCGGAATTTTAGAATGAAACAAGATTGATCTATATGTCAAAATGTTACAATCTATGATGCATAATATTTGATAAAGTTTAATATTGTGTTTTCCTTTAATTTTCATCGAAAGTTGTGTTTCTATAACAATGAATGTTTAAGACATCTATAAGCCATGTTTTACACAATTTGGTTTTCAATGTATATTCATCTAGAAAGGTAATTGGAATGTCATTATGTAGTTCCATTCCATTTCTTATAACTCTATTATTTTGTGAATCATCTAGTCGTCTAGAGACTTACATATTCTTGTTCGTTTTCCACTATATGCTACCAATTTCTTCATGTGCAAGTAGAACGGAAGAAACTGTGATATTACAACATTAACATGTCAACCAAATGAATGTATTCCTTCTATAATAAATTCATCTTAATTTCCTAAGATAAACATCGTAGGAACCATAAATTGATTAGCAACACTATAAAAATTCTGTATTCAAAACATATTTCACTAATACCAAATCAAATCCGACTTCATAAGCCTCATTTTTACAATGAATGAATTGTGGTTGCAAGCAGTTATGCTCTACATCAGAATATGGACTAAAATATGAATTTCTAAATACCTCCAGTTAATTTCTTTAGCGTAGAGTGCTTGATGACATAAGTAATCTCCCAAACCACCATTTCTGGGGTAACAATGTGTGATACCAATATTAAAAGTGTAACACCCCAAACTCAAAACTGATTTTTATGAATTTATAAATTTTATTCACAAAATATTTGAAATAATAATATAATAATAAATCAGACTGCTTCATTCTTAAAACGATTTCCAAATCATTTTATGATATTGTATAACTGTACAGAAAGCATGAATTCGACTTTGAAATCCTTTGTTTAACCTTAACAGATGCCCCCCTATATTATACTTTTGATATAAGTACTATTTTATTGTTTTAGATCTTTGGTGGTCTAATTTAATAAATAAATAAAAATCAGTTTTAAATTTAGGGCATTACAAAGAAGACAACTTAATATGATATTTCCTAAAATTGTTGTAAAACTGTAAGATAAATATTGATGATTAAGCAGTATTATCATTATGCACTCAATTAGAATATTCCGTGTCTTGCACTCAACTTTAAAAATCCTCTGTTAGCCGTTTACTTGAATGTTATGACGAAATTTGCATGTATGTCTTGTAACG